TGAGCAGGGGAGGGTCAGAGAGAGAGGGAGTCACAGACCGAAAAAGGCTCCAGGCTCTGAGCAGACAGTCAGCACAGAGCCAGAAGCGGGGCACAAACCCACAAACCGAAAGATCATGACCTAAGCGAAAGTCGGACGCTTGACGGATGAAGCCACCCAGGCGCCCCCCATTTTAACCATTTTTAAAGGGTATGACTCAGTGGCATTAACCACATTTCACAATGTTGAGCAGCATCACTGCTATTCATTTCCAGAACTTCATCATCCCAAACACAAACTCTGTACACATTAAACACCAACTTCCCATTCTATGCCTCCCAACCCCTAGAACTTCTATTACAGTTTCTATTCATATGAACTCGACATTGCTTTTTTATACCTATGTTGAAATAACAGTTGGACGTACTGGGTTAAATAAAACATGTGATTAAAATTAAGTTTGCTTTGTTTCTTTTTATATTTTTAATGTGGCTACTAGAAAACTGTATTTATGGGGCTCATATTATATTTGGGCAGTGCTGTGCTAGAGCATAATGTGCATATAAGGAAACAGACAGATGATGCTGGAATGAGTAGATACAGGTTGAGTCATGAAGGCCCTAAAATTGCCTTACAAGATAAAACCTTACAGGTGATGGAGAGCCAGTAACACACTTAGAAGGGGAGTGTCAGGATCAGATTCCCATTTCAAAGAACACCATGGTGGCTGTGTGGGTGCTAGACTGGAGAAGAGTAAGGCAAGAGACAGGAAGATCCACTGGGGGACTCAACAGTAGACCAGGATGGGAAGAAGATTCAAATCAGTGCAGAAGAAGGCAGAATGACAAAGAACCAGGTGAAGGTGGGGGGGTGGGGGCCGCACCTGGCTGCTTCAGTCACCTGAAGAGCATGAAACTCTTAATCTCAGGGTCATGAGTTCAAACCCTACACTGCGTGCAGAGCTTACATTAAAAAAAGAAAAAGAAAAAAGAACCATGGCTCCTAACAGAAAGGCTGCATTAGAATCACCTGCATAAGGAGAAAAGTCATAAATTTTACAACTTATCATTTTGAAAGTTCGATGAATATAAAATCAATAGCTTTCCAAACCCACTACAAAAATATGAAGAAAAACTCACTCATAATAGCAACATACCGTTTTTAAAAACCACGCACAAAACAACCATGTGCGCGAGCACGTGCGCGCGCGCGCGCACACACACACACACCCCAAGGCATAAACTCAGAAATGTGCAGGATTGATATGAAGAAAATAGAAAATGTTGATATGAAGAAAAATAGAAGATATAAAAGGCTGGAAGGCAGAGATATATTCTAGGAGCTATCACATGCAGAGCATGTATCTCGTGCTAAGTACCACACATTATATACAATCGTGTATACATTGCTCACTTAATCCTTTCAACAACCTTCTACATTTAACCTTTCATCAACCTTCTGCAAAAGGTACTATAATTACTGTTTTTTTCGTAAGGAGAAGATTGTTTCACAGAAATATTCAAAATAACATCTAAATGCAATGCCAACTTAATTTTTAAAAACTCTTTAAAAATGAATTGACCATCAAGAGTGAAAAGACAATCCTAGGATGGGAGAAAATTTTTGCTGAGCATATATTTGGCAAAAGCATGTATCTCAAATATATAAAGAACTCTTACAATTCAGTAACAAAAAAGACAACTTGGTTAAAAACAGACAAAGATCTGGATAGACATTTCTTCAAAGAAAATATACATATGGACAAGAAGCACTTGAAAAGCCATTGTGGAAACACAAATCAAAACTACAGTGAGATACCACTTCACACCCACTAGGATGGCTCTAATCAAAAAGACAGATAATAATGGCAGGAATGTAAAATGGTGCAGCTGCTTTGAAAACCAGTCTGGTGGCTCCTCAAATGATTACACATAGGGATGTCATATGATCCAGCAATTCCACTGCTAGGTATGTACCCAAGAAAGAAAACATACCTAGAGGCATTATTCACAATAGCCAAAAAGCAGAAACAGTGCGCATGTCCTTCAGCTGATGTGGATAAATAAAATGTACCATATCCGTAATGTTATGGGTTGAACTGTGTCCCTGAAAAATCCCGGGGGTACGTGTGAATGTGACCTTATTGAAAATGAGGCCTTTGCACACATAGTCAAGTTAAAATGAAGTCATACTGGAGTAGGGTGGGCCTTTAATCCAATAGGAATGGTGCCCTTGAGTGAAGGGGAGGAGAGACACAGAAACAGGCTCCCACAGGGAGAACTAGCATGTAAAGACAGACCCTCAGGGAAGAAGGCCCTGTGAAGACAGGCGGAGGCTGGAGTCTGCAGCTGCAAGCCAAGGAATGCCAAGGATTGCCAGCAACCACCAGAAGCGAAGAAGAGGCAAAAAAGGATGCTCCCCCATAGTCTTCAGAGACAGCCTAGCCCTGCTGACACCTTGCTTTTGGACTGTCTAGCCTCCAGAACTGTGAGAGAATACATTTGTGTTAGCTTAAGTCACCCAGTTTGTGTTACTTTGTTACTGTAGCCCTAGGAACCGAACACACCATAGGACGGAATTCTATTCAGAGGTTAAAAAAAAAAAAAAAAAATGGATGAGTACTGATGCGTTCCACAACATGGATGAGGCTTGAAAACATTAATGCTGAGTGATAGAAGCCTGTCACAAGGTATCACAAATTGTATGATTCCATTTATACAAAATAGTCAGATCTATAAAGGCAGAAAGATTAGTGGTTGCCTAGGGCTCAGGTACTGGGGAATGGTATGGGGAACGACTGCTAACTGGCACAGGTTTCTTTTCAGGGTGATGAAAATGTTCTAAAATTACATTGTGGTGATGGCTGCACAACTTGTGAATGCGCTAAAAACCACTGAAGTGGTTTTTATAAACAGTGAGTTATATAAATTACATCTCAATAAAGCCACTTAAAAAAAAAAAACTAGTTGACAAGCTAATTCTAAAAGTTGGGAGAAGAAATTCTAAGATTAGCCCCACAAATGTTTTTTTAAATGAGTATGTGAGCTGAAAAAGTATATGAGTTTCAATAAAATGGCAGCAATAATCACAAGGGAGTATTTATCCTACTAGATATCAAAGTATATGTATTGGACATAGGATACTGTGGTATTGGTCCCGCAAAACGGAAAATCAGGTCACAGAACAAAAGGGGGTCCAGAAACAGATTGTGTGTGTGAGAAAGTAGTAAATGACAAATGTGGCATTTCAGATTAATGGGTCAAGGATGGATTTCATATTCAGAGTGATACTGTTGGGAAAACAAGAATTATGCACACACCGTTCACTCACACACTCACACACTGGATGTGTGTGAGGAATTAAGGAAAAACTCAAACATACAAGAGTTTATAGGAGAGAATATAGTCATAAGAGAAAACCCTGCTGTACCTTAGGGTAAAACAGGGTCCTTCAGCCTCAGCACTATTGGCATCTTAGTCCAGAGGACTTTCCTATGCAGTATAAGATGTTTAGCAGTTATCTCTAGTTTCTGCTCAGTAGATGACCCCACTTTAGACAAACAAAAAATGTCTCCTCACGTTACCAAATGGTCCCTGGAAGGCAAAATCTCTCCCCTTGGAGAACCACTAAGGTAGGGAATGACAGCCACAAAATACAAAATATGCACAGGGAAAGACTGATACATTCAAATGTAAAATTTAAACCTATGGTTTGACAAAGAGGCCATGTAGTTAAAAGACAAGCATCAACTTTAAAAAGCACTACGTTGGGAATACATACTTAAAACAGATATAATGACAGAAGATTGATATCCAGAATACATAAAACACTACTATCTATTAAAAAAAATAAAAACAAGACATTTCTCAAAAGAGGAAACACAAATAGCTCACAATCATGAAAAGACACCCAGTCTCACTGGTAACCAGGGAAATACAAATTAGAATCACTTTCCACCCATTGGCAAAAATGAAAAGGACAGATAGCATCACATGTTTAAAAGAGCTAGGGAAACAGAGATTATTATACACTGGTGGTGGGCAGTTTAGCCTTAGATGTCCACACCCTCCCACCCAGCAATTCAATCTGTAGGTTTGAAATGTTCACATGGGCACACAGACACATGTGGAAGGAGGTCCTCTGCCATGTGTCTAACTGTAAACAATCTCTGGAACCTCATATATTGTGAAATCTTAATATACCATGGAATTTACAGAGAAAGTAGAAAGAAGAAGGTAGGTCTCTCTACCTATGGACCAAGAAAAAGTTCCAAGGTCCATTTTTAAATATAAAAGTCAAGTCGCTGAAGAGGTACAATATGGTGTATTTGTAAATTATGTATTAGTAAAAATTTAACATGAACTCTTACATCCATGTAACTTCTATAAACAAACACCTTGGCACTAAATGTAAAGAAAGAGAAAGTGAAATAACACATCCCAAACTGGTAACAGTTCTTACTTTAGAGCTAAGAGGTTAAAGAAGATGGAGATGGAAAGAGATCAAATATCCATTTTGTTTAAGTTTCTTACATGAATTTTTTTAAGAGACTGTATGCATGGACTACACCTAAACTAAATATAAAAGAATATATACGTTTTTAAAACGAACTCAACTTGACAGAAACGAATCATTACTTCCCCCAATAAACTGCTGGTCTTCTGCACTTCCGAATTCTGATAATTAACAAAATCTTCTCCTGAGGTTCCTTCTATCCACGTAATACAATTTTTAAAATACCGTAAAATTAATGTAATGTTTTCAAGGCGTGGGTACTTAAGACAGTCTGTTTGCGTCCAATCGGTATATCAAAAGCTTAGAAAGGGCTGGGGTTGCTTATATTTTAATGAGCCAGGACCAATTTTGTACTGATCACTAGGGTTCTAGTTTCGATCCCAGGGATGCGAAAAGAGAAAGAGGTGGCTCCCAGCAAGGCCCAGAGCAGCGGGTGTGGTCTGGGAGGAAAGGGGTGGTAACAGCGGGGGCGGGGGCAGGTCCCCACGAACCGCGGGGAAGAAACCGTCACTGCGGCCGCGTGGAACACGCCGCGGCGCCCAAAGAGTTGCCAGGTGCTGTGGGCGGTGCCTCCTTTTGAGCCGACTGGGTCAAGAAACCATGAAGGTTTGGTACGTGCTCCTCAAGAGAGACGAAGGGGGTTCGAGGGGGCGCGTGGGGGGGCCGCGGCCCGGGACGAGAGTCCCCGTCGCACACCTGGGTGCCGAACCGCCGCGGGGCAGGGGAGCGAGGAGGCCGCGGCGGGGCGGGAAGAAGGGCTGGGCCAAGTCGCTCGCGGACGGCGGGGTCCGCGCAATAAGTCGCCCCCGCAGACAGTGACATCGCCAGCTCCACAACCCTTCCCCTCAATCCGCGCTGGAGACCCCCTCCTTCCCTCGCAGAAGGCGGGTGAAAGGCCTCGCGGGTCCCTGATTCTCACTCACCTGCGACCGGGACCCCAATCCGAACACCTGCGGCACCTCACGCTGAAGAGCTGGAACCCTCCACCGCCACCTGCGCGCACCCACCCGGATCCACTAGGGCCGAAACCACTTCCGGTCCTGCGACGGGCTAGGAGGATGTAATCCCAGTCGGTGTATATAAATGGGCGACGCCATATTGTACGGAAGCTGCTAGGACAGCTGTGTCCTCCCCAGTTTCTCCAGTGCTGAACAAAGGATCTGTTAAAATTGGAAAGGCCTAACGTCTCTTCAGAAAAGGGGTTTTTGTGTTTTTGTTTCTGGGGTGGTATTTTTGTGTGTTTTGATTTTGGTTTTAAAAGAAGAAACCTCTGGAACCCTCACAAATGCAGTATGGAACATCTAGTTGTTATTCTTATTAGCTCCAGTAATGTTATTCTACTGCTCTAATTTTAACTGTTAAATCATGAAGGTAAATAGGGGAGACACTTGTTTAATTAATGTATTCTTGAGTAGCAGTGCATTTTATACCATTGCCATTATAACAGTTAGTGCCATCTTGCATAACAATAACCACAATACTTTATGCTTATATTTAAAATCATTCATTAAACCAATCTTTTATCAGTAACTATTTTATGTGAAGAGGCTAGTGTGTGCTCTGTGTTACTTTGTCATAGAATGTGTAACAAGGAGAAATGCTATGTGCATAAACAATGTAAGGTGTAATAATAGATGCCATTTGTTGACTGTGTGCATACACTGTGCTAGGAACTTTGCAAATTGTTTTATGTATTTTACCTCATTTAATCCTCACAACAACCTCCTGGAACAGTACTATTATCAGTAACATTTTACATAAAATGGAGAAAGGTAGCAGCAAGTAAGCATTGGAGCTGGGAATCAAACCTCAGTATATCTTCTTACAAAGTGTGTTGCCCTCATTCGCTACATTATATTGCCTCCTGTAAAGGAAAAGAGGTTCTAAGTTCCTTTTTTTTTTTTTTTAATGTTTATTTATTTTTGAGAGACAGAGACAGAGCACGAGCAGGGGAGGGGCAGAGAGAGAGAAGGAGGCACAGAATCTGAAGCAGGCTCCAGGCTCTGAGCTGTCAGCATAGAGCCGGATGCGGGGCTTGAACCCACGTCTAAGTTCCTTTAGGTAAGTACTCACAAGGGAAAAATTTATGGGAGATGTAGAGGATTAACCCCTTGCAGTTTAATCTGCTCCAAACTGAAATATTTGCATTTTTTAATGCAAAAAAAAGTAAAAAAGAAATGCAAATTAAAACCACAATGAGATACCAAACTCAACAAAAAGACTAAAATGAAAAAGAAAACACCAAATATTGACAAAGTTGTGGAGCAACCAGAACTCTCACATGCTTCTGAGGGTACATAAATTGGTACGATCACTTTGTTAAACTGTTTGGCAGTATCACCTAAAGCTGAATATATGCATAGCCTTTGTCCCAACAGTTTCACTTCTAGGTATATGCCCAACAGAAATGTGTCAATATGTTCATTGAATGGACATATACCAAAAAACCCATACCCATATTGGCAACAGCTCTAAACTGGAAACTACCCAAATATCCATGCTGTTAGAAGTCAACGTAATGACTCTGGAAGAAAGCATGAGGAGGCTCATGAAGTGCTGATAATAATTCTGTTTGTTAATCTGAGTACTGGTTTACATGTGTGTTCAGTTGCATATTTGTGGACACTTTCCTGGATGCATATATACTTCAATAAAAAGGTTGGTTTTTTTTTTTAAAGGCAAGTAAATGAGTAAAAAGCTTATAAACCCTAAGAAGAAAAAGAATAGGAATGGAGATAATAGCAAACAAATCTCAGTGTAATTTTATAAGACAAAAATTTGATTGGAAAGGCAGAATATTGACATTTGAGGGATCCCATTGAGGAGGAGCAGAATACATGAGACCGACATATGCCATTCTGACGTGTGGATTATTTTAAGCTAAAGGCAATTAAGACCCAACAGATTTAAGGAAAGATTTAAGGTCCTTTAACTACCTAACGGAATTTAGAATGGGGGTCTGGCTCAGAAAGAGATCTATTACCAGATATAACTTTTAATGTATGGCCGGCCCATTATCTAATTGCCAAATATCTGCTCTTCTTATTGTCCTGGGAATTTTCCTCCTCCCCTTTGAATCCCCTGGCCCCTATCCTATTCTTTAGTTTAAAATGGCATTTAAGCCTCAATTGCCTGGCTTATCCTTGGGTCTCTTATAGGACTCTCAGTTTGTTTTCTTCTGTTAATCTGTTTTATGTCAATTTAATTAATAGACCAGCTAGAATAATTTAGAATGGAAGAGGAAGAATTTTTCTTCCCCTACACTATAATAAACTGTCTGGGTCGATAAGGAATCGTCCTACATTGAAGTTCTGACCCACCAAGTCCCATCTGTGCATAAAGGATTTCCAGTCAGCATTTTAGTAAGTGCCTCATTCTTTGTCTTAGTCTGTTTGGGCTGTTGTAACAAAATGCCATTGACTAGGTGGCTTCTAAACAATAGAAATTTAGGGGTGTCTGGGTGTCTCAGTCAGCTGAGCGCCTAACTTTGGCTCACATCATTATCTCACAGTTCGTGGGTTCGAGCCCCACGTTGAGCTCTGTGTTGACAGCTCAGAGCCTGGAGCCTGCTTTGGATTCTGTGTCTCCCTCTGTCTCTGCTGCTCCCCTCCTTGCACTATGTCTCTCAAAAATAAGTAAATGTTTTTAAAAAAACACAGAAATTTATTTCTCATAGTTTTGGAGGCTGGGAAGTCCATGATCAAGGTGCTGACAGAGTTTTTTTGTCTGGTGAGTGCCTGCTACCTAGTTTAGAGACTGCTGTCTTTTCACTGTGCCCTCACTTGGCCAAGAGATAAGGAGCTCTCATGGGCCTCTTTTATAAGGCACTAATCTCATTCATGAGGTTCCACTCTCACAACCTAATCACCTCCCAAAGTCCCTGCCTCCTGATACCATTATACTGGAGGTTACTTTTCAACATATGAATTTTGAGAAGACACAGAACGTTCAGTCAATAACACCTACATAGGTAAAGATATCCAAGCATCACCAGTCGTTGCAGGAACATCTCCAACACCATTAATTAATAGTTTCTAAGGAACACGTATAGGACTCTTGCATCCAGCATTTTGAGAACACAACTACTTTTAAAACTTATAAGGAAGGCGATGGGCTAAATGGGTGATGCCATTAAGGAGGGCACTTATTGGGATGAATACTGGGTGTCATACATAAGTGCTGAATCCCTGGGTTCTATTCCTGAAACCAATACTACATTGTTAACTAATTTGAATTTAAGTAAATTAATTTTTTTAAAAAGGATAATGAAGCAGCAACAAAAGGCATATAAACAAAAACAAAACAAACAGACAAAAAACTCACCCAAGGAAAATTTAAGAAATTTAACTTTTATTTAGGCCATTGAGCAACTTACTACAAATTGCAAAAAATTGCTATCATACAGATCTCATTCTCTGATGATAGTACAATTAAGTTAGAAGTCGATAATAAAATTATTGTTAAAACTCTATATAGTTGAAGGTTTAAAAAACATCTTAATAACTGAAAGATCAAAGAAGAAATCCTAATGGAAAGTTATAATATTAGATTTGAGAGGTAATAAAAGTACTAGATATGAAAATTTATAGGATATAGGTAAATTAATAACCTTATAACTTTTAACACTAGAAAATAAGAAAGTAAAACTTAAATATATAAGTGATCATCCTAATACAGTAGATGAAACAAAAAAATAAATCCAAAATGGAAGAAGATAAAGATCAGAGAATAAATTAATAAAATAGAAAAAGATGTAATACAGATGACCAAAAAAACTAAAGTTAGATCTTTGAAAAGACTAATAAGGAAAACAAGTTTCTGCGAGACTGATCTAGATCAAAGAGAAGTAGCAACAAATAAATAATATTAGGACTAAAAAGGGGGATATAACAAAATAGGCAGAGATTTAAGAAACTACAAAATATGATGAACAACTTTATGCCAAAAAAATGATTAGACAAGAGAATGAAGAGATAAGCCACAGATTGAGAGGAAATATCTGCAAACACTTATCTAATAAAGAACTATTACCCAGAATATAAAAGGAAATTTTGAAACTGAACAACCCAATTAGCAAGTGAGCCAAGATGAGGCTCCTGGGTGACTCAGTCGGTTAAGCATTCCACTTTGGCTCAGATCATGGTCTTACAGTGTGTGAGTTTGAACCCTGTATCAGGTGAGCTCGAGCCCCGCTTCAGGTTTCTCTCTCCCTCTCTCTCTGCCCCTCGCTCACTCGCACTCTCTCTCTCAAAAATAAGTTAAAAAATTTTTTTAAGTGAGCAAAGATTTGAATAGATACCTCAGTGAGGTGAGAAGTGAGAATAGACACCTCAGTAAGGTGAGAAGATATAGGTTGTCCAAATAAGCATATAAAAATGTGTTCAACATTATATGTTACTAGGAAATTGTAAATTAAAACAACAATTTTGCACCTGGGTGGCTCAGTCAGTTGAGCGTCAGACTCTTGATTTTTGCTCAGGCCATCATCCCAGGGTCATGGGATCGAGCTTCAAATCAGGCTCTGCATTGAGCATGGAGCCTGCTTCTCTCTCCCTCTACCCCCTTCCCCCCTCCCACAACAACAACAATTAGATAACATCATATCATTGAATGGCTAAATCGTTTTAGAATGGCTAAAATTCAAACACTGACAACACCAAATAGTGATGAGGATATATAGCAAGAGGAACTTTCATTCATTACTGGTAGGAAGGCAAAATGGTGCAGCCCCTTCTGAAGATATTTTGTAGGTTTTTACAAAGCTAAATACAGTATTATCATATGAGTAAAAACTTAAATCCACACAGAAACCTGCACACAAATGTTTATAGCAGCTTTACTCTTACATTGAAAGCAGCCAAGATGTTCTTCTTAGGTGAATGTATAACCAAACTGTGGCACATCCATACAATGGGATGTTATTCAGCAACAAAAAGAAATGAGCTATCAAGCCACAAAAAGACATAGAGGAATCTTAAATGCATATTGCTAAGTGAATGATGCCAGTCTGAGAAGGGTACATACTGTATGTTTCCAACTACATGGCATGAAAAAAGCAAAACTGTGGCTACAGTGGTTGCTAGGGGTTCCTGGGGAGGAAAGGAAGGGTGCAGAGGTGGAGCACAGAGGATTTTTTAGGGCAGTTTAACTATTCTGTGTGATACTGTAATGGGGGATACATGACATTATGCATGTACCGAAACCCATATAGAATTGTGCAACACAAAGGGAAAACACTAAAATACACTATTTTCTTTAGCTGGTAATAATTTATCAATATTGGTCAGTCCATTGTAACAAATGTACCACACCAGTGCAAGATTTAATAGAAGCGGGAACTGTATGTGTATGTGTGTATTGGGGTAGGGGGAATAGAGTATGGGAACACTCTACTTTCTGTTCAAGTTTTCTGTAAACCCCAAACTGCTCTAGAAATAAAGTCAATTCATTTTAGAGTACTGTGCCATGAATTGCTTGATTTGTCTAAAAATTCTTTGTTCATTTATTCATTGATTTTGAGGACAACTTAATTCCACAGCCTGGGGTGTCATATACAGAAAATTCAAGAGAAATTATGGCAGGAAGTGTCAGTGGCCTACCCAATATCTCCATTCTCCCCTCTGCCTGATAGCAAAAGTCAGGGGGCATTTAAAAACTGTATTTAAGCTTTCTCCCCGTGAATGCTGCCCAGGAAGCATCATTGAAGTCTCCCCTCCCACCACCATTACGTCTAAGTCAGAGCCTCCCAAAAAGCCTGAACAGCTGCCTAAGTTTTCCATCAGAGGTTTGAGCTTGGAAACAGCTGATGAGAGTCTGAGGAGCCATTTTGAACAATGGGGAACACTTACAGACCACGTGGTAATGAGAGATCCAAACACCAAGCACCCCAGAGGGTGTTTGGGTGTTTGGGTTTGTCATTTGCACCACTGTGGAAGAGGTGGATGCAGCCACGAATATAAGGCTACCTAAGGTGGATGGAAGAGCTGTGGCACCAAAGAGGGCTGTCACCAGAGAAGATTCTCAAAGACCCGGTGCCCACTTAACTGTGAAAAAGATTTTTGTCGGTGGCATTGAAGAAGCCGCCGAAGAACATCATCTAAGAGATTATTTTGAACAGTATAGGAAAATTGAAGTGACTGAAATCATGACTGACCGAGGCAGTGGAAAAAGAGGCTTTGCTTTTATAACATTTGATGACCATGACTCTATAGACAAGATTGTCATTCAAAAATTCCATACTGTGAATGGCCACAACTGTGAAGTAAGGAGAACTCTGTCTAAGCAGGAGATGGCTAGTGCTTCCTCCAGCCAAAGAGGTTGAAGTGGTTCTGACACTTTGGTGGTGGTCGTGGAGATGGTTTTGGTGGGAACAATGACTTTGGTCATGGAGGAAACTTCAGTGGGCGAGGTGGCTTCGGTGGCAGTCAAGGTGGTTGTAGATATGGTGGCAGTGGAGATGGTTATAATGGATTTGGTAATGATGGAAGCAACTTTGGAAGTGGTGGAAGCTATAATGATTTTGGCAATTACAACAAGCAATCTTCAAATTCTGGACCTATGAAAGGAGGAAATTTTAGAGGCAGAAGCTCTGGCCACTATGGTGATGGAAGCCAATACTTTGCCAAACCACGAAACCAAGATGGCTATGGTGGTTCCAACAGCAGTGGCTATGGCAGTGGAAGAAGGTTTAATTACACCAGGAAACAAAGCTTAGCAGGAGAGGAGAGCCAGAGATGTGACAGGGATGCCACAGGTTACAAAGATTTGTGAGCTCAGCCAAGCACAGTGGTGGCAGGGTCTAGCTGCTACAAAGAAGGCATGTTTTAAACAATACTCATGTGTATGGGCAAAAAGCTTGAGACTGCATTTGTGACTAATTGTATAACAGGTTATTTTAGTTTCTGTTCTGGTGGAAAGTGTAAAGCATTCCAACAAAGTGTTTTAATGTAGATTGTTTTCTTGTGCCCATGTTGATGATTGCTAAATGTAATAGTCTGATCATGATGTTAAATAAATGTGTCTTTTTTTATTTTATTTTTTATTAAAAAATTTTTTTTGTTTATTTATTTTTGAGACAGAGAGAGACAGAGCAGGAGCAGGGTTGGGGCAGAGAGAGAGGGAGACACAGAATCAGAAGCAGCCTCCACGCTCTGAGCTGTCAGCACAGAGCCAGACACGGGGCTTGAACCCATGAACTGTGAGATTGTGACCTGAGCCAAAGTTGGATGCTTAACTGACTGAACCACCCAGGCACCCCATATGTGTCTTTAAAAAAAAAAACATTTAAAATTGCAGTTAAAAATACATTTAAATTGCATTCAAAAATATTTTTTCTGTCTTCATTGGTAATAGATATGACCACGTGATTAAGTTCTGGCCAATAAGGTATAAACAAAAGTTTTTGCACTAGACTCTCAGTTTTTGTTTTTGTTTTTTTTTTTAGTATTTATTTATTTATATTTGAGAGAGTACGTAAGCAGAGGAGGTGGAGAGAAAGGGGGACAGAGGCTCTGTAGCAGGTTCGGCTCTAATAGCAGAGAGTCCTATGTGGCGCTCAAACCCACGGACCATGAGATCGTGACCTGAGCTGAGGTCAGACACTCAACCGACTGAGCCATCCCCGTGCCCCCCCCACAAAAAACTAATTTTTTAAGTGGCTACAGTGAAGTCTTTGTTATCAGCAATGAAACCCAATCCTAACTTATACATGAAATGAAAGGTATTACTACTGAATGCATACCACACAAGTTGACTAAAAACTGAGTCTGGCTGGCTCAGTTAGTAGAACATGCAGGTCTTAATCTTGGGGTTGTGTGTTTCAGCCCCACACTGGATGTAGAGATTACTTAAAAATAATATCTTAAAAACAAACAAAACAAAACAAAAAAACCCTATTGAATACAGGGCCCAGACTTCAAGATATACAATAAAGGTGAAAACACTTTATTGGATTTGTTTAGTGTGTTGAAGATAAAGGTCAAAGCTTAGAGGAACACTAAATAGGCTCTTTCTGAAAATCTTATTCCCTTCCATCAAAATTCTATCTATCCCTTCTGTCCACTGATCCCTTCGATAAACTTTTATAATATTATGAGGTACTATACAGATTATAAAAATATGTAGCTTGGCACTCAAGAAACTTACAAGCTAGGTGGAAAGACAAAAAGACTATTTGTTAGCAAATGAGAAAAGGTATCTTTTTTTTGTGGTTTAGAGATATATGGAATTTTTCTCTCTCCTACAGAGCTGGATTGAGACTACCTCTTGGAAAAGAAGAAATTCATGAAGGCCCCTTAAAATGAGGGTAAGACTGGGGCACCTGGGTGTATCAGTCAGTTAAGCATCCAACTCCTTTTTTTTAATTTATTTTTTTAATGTTTACTTATTTTTGAGATAGAGCACTAGTGGGAGAGGGGCAGAGAAAGAGGGAGACACAGAATCTGAAGCAGGCGCCAGCCTTGGAGCCTGAAGCAGGGCTTGAAGTCACAGGCTATGAGATCATGACTTAAGCTGAAGTCGGATGCTTAACTGACTGAGCCACCAAGGCACCCCTAAGTGTCCAACTTTTGATTTTGGCTCAGGTTATGATCTCACAATTTGTGAGACAGAGCCCTGAGCTGTCACCACAGAGCCTGGTTGGGATTCTCTCTCTCTCTCCCTCTCTGCATACCCCTCCTTGTGCTCGGGCTCTCTCTCTCTCAAAATAAATAAACATAGCTTTTTTTTTTTTTAATGTTTTATTTATTTCTAGGAGAGAGAGAGACAGCGTGAGCAGGGGAGGGTCAGAGAGAGAGGGAGTGACAGACTCTGAAACAGGCTCCAGGCTCTGAGCTGGGAGTCAGCACAGAGCCCGACGCGGGGCTTGAACCCACGAACCGCGAGATCATGACCCAAGCGAAAGTCGGACGCTTAACCAACTAAGCCACCCAGGCGCCCCTAAATAAACATAGCTTTAAATGAAATAAAATCAAATTAGGGTGATAGTCTCAGTGCCATGGGACAAGTTCACCTAACAAGAGGGGCTGAAAGGGTGGTGACTCAGCATTCCTTTTGTTCCCTAGAGAGTGGTGCTCATGGGGGTTGAGCTGAATTGCTTTGTAGGGTAAAAGACTGAGAAATTAGAAAATTCAGGAGAGCAATCAGAGATAAAGGGAGGAGTCAGCAAGGCTCCCAGCTTCCTGGGGGAAAGAGAAAGACATCTCAGAGGAGAGACTTTGAGGGAGAAAGAAATGTTTAAAGCATTTGGGGGGTTGAGCTTAACTTCTTTGGTGTGGGATGTGTACACATCATGTAACCTCGTCTTCTATCTCTCATAGGTAAAGTTCAGGAAAGTCACTTGTATATCATTCTCTAATGTTTTACTTCCAGGAGATTCTTTGGAGGACCTTGAATAGGTGTTGAATTTTGTATCAATGTTTGCAAGAAGAAAAGCAAATGTTATTTGTGGGCCTTCTGAAGCTGGAGCGTAAAAGGTGGACCACTGACATCTAAGTCCCGGGGAGGGAAAAAAAACACAAGAAGAGAACGCCAGTTCAAGATGATGGAGTGAGCCACAGGTAACTCTTCTTCCTACCAAAATTTCTCTTTAAAAATGAGAAAAAACTCCCACAAAACTTTAAGGTATAAAAGATACAGAAAAAGAAGACCACAAAACGAGAGCAAACCTAGTAGGGAGTCAACCACCACCACGCGTGTTTGGCAAAGACTCAAAGGCAGGCAGGCAAATGGGAAAATTTTATAGTGAAAACAGGGGCAGCTTCAGATGTGATTGGAGGTCATTATCATGGGGAAGCTGGAGATGGGCTGACTAGAAGCCAGGCTTCTTATGTGATTGCTTTGGCTTTCTCTGGTTGGTCCTGTGTTGGAAGTAGGGGCAAAATATAAAGAAGGGACCCATCAATGAGCTCTAACCATTCTGTGCTGTTTGCCTTGGAGGCTGTGATTTGGCTTCCCAGGCTGGTGGTTGCTGTACAAGTCATAGGTCAGAGTTCTATTGTCATATAGGGCCTGGCTGTTGTCTGTTTGTATAGTCAGTCTTTTAGAGAACAGGAGATAAAATCACTAACATTTGGGAAGCTGGAAAGCAGGAGGATAGTGGGAAGTGACTTAGCCGACTCCTCCCCTATCAGAGGACAAGCCAAGAGCAGCCTGGTTTGCCCTAGAGAACCACCAAAGACTCAAGAATTGGCAGCACCACATACCTCAAGAAGCAGGGGCAAAGTTGGGATGAAAAACAGAATAATTGGTTAAAAGTCTATTTGAGAAGCAGTTAGATCACCTGATTTCCTCCCTACCTGCCAAGTGACTGCTCTTTCAGCCCCTGCAGAAGGTTTAGGATTGATTCCCTGGAGACAATAAAGTAGAAGATACCTTGTCTAGTTAAGAATAGGGATGCCATACTAGGGCGCCTGGGTGCTGCAGTCTGTTGAGCATCCAACTCCTGATATCGGCTCAGGTCGTGATCTCACAGTTCATGAAATCAAGCCCCACATCCAGCTCTGCACTGATAGTGTGGAACCTGCTTGGTGATTCTCTGTCTCCCTCTCTCTCTGCCCCTACCCTGTTTGCTCTCTCCCTCAAAATAAATAGATAACCTTAGAAAATAAAAAAAATAAAAAAATAGGGGTGTCATACTAAAATCATGAGGATTCAGTGAAAATTATTGACTTTCATACTTTCAAGATTGCTGCCTCACTTTCCCACATCAGCAATGTTAGAAGACAAGTGTTTAAGAAAAAATTTCAGATAATTTTGTTATAAGCATACATTAAACTTTCTTTACTCTCTTGCAACAAGGAAGAAGGCCAAGAGTAGGATACTTCTAAATGGACCAAACGATTATTGGGAAATGGAAACCGGCATTGTTCTAAGCATACCCTTCCCACATATCAGCTTCTACGGGGTTTCTGCCTTCTATAGTCCTTGAACTGTTTTACACTGAAGAGATATAGGTAAATTTGTAGAAAACTGATAATGCAAATAGTTATTGTCTTTAGATGTGCAAATAAATGCTGTCAGGTGAAGCTTCTATTGACAACCTCACTCCCCAACGCCCCCCAGTAAGCCAGCTTTGTGTGTGAGAAAACATATTTCAGCATTTTTGATGGGCTTAGATATTTGCCTGGTCTTTGGGTTTTCCTTTGAACCAATTGTAACATCTTTTCCAGCTCCCTCATTAACTAATGAGTTAAATTAAATCTTCGACATGTATTTATTTCATATCTGCATCTGATTCATAATTTCCTTTTCTTTTTTTAAAATTATTATCCTTTAAGAAGTCCAATTTGGTGGGAATGCAAACTGGTGCAGCCACTCTGGAAAACAGTATGGAGGTTCCTCAAAAAATTAAAAATAGAACTACCCTATGACCCAGCAATTGCACTACTAGGTATTTATCCAAGGATACAGGTACACTGTTTTGAAGGGGCAAATGCACCCCCATGTTTATAGCAATGCTATCGATAATAGCCAAGTATGTGAAGAGCCCAAATGTCCATCGATGGATGAATGGATAAAGAAGCTCTGGTGTATACATACAACGGAGTATTAGTCGGCAATCAAAAAAATGAAATCTTGCCATTTGCAACAACATGGATGGGACTAGAGTGTGTTATGTGAAGGGAAATTAGTCAGTCACAGAAAGACAAATATCATATGACTTCACTCATATGTGTAATTTAAAATACAAAACAAATGAACATAAGGGAAGAAAGGCAAAAATAATATAAAACTAGGGAGGGGGACAAAACATGAGACTTAAATATAGAGAACAAATTGAGGTTTGCTAGGGGGCTGTGGGGGTGGGATGGGCTTAATGGGCAAAGGGCATTGAGGAGGACCCTTGCTGGGATGAGTACTGGATGTTATGTGCAGGGGATGAATCACTGGATTCTACTCCTTAAATCATTATTGCACTATATGCTAACAAGGATGTAAATTTTTAAAACTAATAAAAATAGAAAGAAAGAAAGAATGAATGAATGAAAGAAAAGAAAAGAAAAAAAAGGAAATAAAAGAGAAAAGAAAAAAAGTCTAATTCAGGGGTGCCTGGGTGGCTCAGTAGGTTGAGTGTCCAACTTCAACTCAGGTCATGATCTCATGGTTTACAGGTTTGAGCCCTGTGTCGGGCTTTGTGCTCACAGCTCAGAGCTTGGAGCCTGCTTCAGATTCTGAGTCTCCCTCTCTCTCTGCCCCTCCCCCACTCACATTCTGTCTCTGGCTCTCTCAAAAAATAAATAAACATTTAAAAAAAAAGAAGTCCAATTCAAAGAGTTATTTTTGGTAGGATATTTGGGAGGAAAGAGATTGGTTAGAAAATCATTTTAGGGATGCCTGGCTGTTTCCAGTCGGTGAAGCATGCAACTCTTGATCTCTGGGTTGTGAGTTCAAGCCCCACGTTGGGTGTAGAGATTACTTACAAATAAAATCTTTAAAAAAGAAAGGAAGGAAGGAAGGGAGAGAGAGAGAGAAGGAAAGAAGGAAAGAAAGAAAGAAAATCACTTTAGATTAGATACAAAAAAGACTAGACTATTTGGTGAAATTCACTATACTCTGAACTGAAAGGTGAGTGGGTGCATAACTGGCTTCTCAAAAGTTTTAATCCCTTTGGTTTTATTAGAATTTTGTGTAGGCATTTTATCAGAAATTCTCATTTCTTCGTAGAAGGCAGATGTAAATTACATCATACAAAAACCCTGCATTCTGATTCTGGTTTAGATATTTTCTTTTACACGATAATGATTTCTGAATCTCCAGTCAAATACCCACTCCCAGCGCTACTCAAAGCACCCGGGCTACAATTAGAAAAGGACCTTGCTCCAAAATGTAAATCAGCTTACTGTTTCCTTCACTGAAAAATTCTTCCTACAAAAACATGCTTGCTGACATAGATACTTGACATTCTGGAACAAACTTTGATCTCATTGAGGACTGATAAAAACCAATTGCGGAGCACCTAGCTGGCTCTGTCAGTAGAGCATGTGACTCTTGCTCTCAGGGTCATGAGTTCCAGCTCACATTGGGGATAGAGTCTACTTTAAAAATAAACAAATAAAAATGCATTGAAAAAACAAATTGCAGAATTTGAAATGTTATTCAGCTTTAAAAAGGAGTTAAATTATAATACATGCTACAACAGGAGTCAACTTTGAAGGTATTTATGCTGAGTGAAATAAGCCAGACACAAAAGGATGAATAATGCTTTATACCACTTATATGAGGTTGCTAGAAGAGTCAAATTCATAGAGTCTAGAGTGGAATAGTGGTGACCAGGAGCTGGGGGGAGAGAGGAATGGGAAGTTACTGTTTATTGGGCACAGAGTTCCAGTTTGGGACGATGGAAAACTGGAGATGGATGGTGGTGATAGTTACAAAACAATGTAAATATACCTAATGCCATGGAACTGTACACTTAAAAATGGTTAAAATGGTAAATTTTAAGTTATATATATATTTTTACCATAATTGTAAAAGTGATTAAAGTGATAGATTTTATGTTACGCATATTTTACTGCAATTTTTTTTTTGTTTAAATTGCAGACCAGCTAGTCCAAAGACTACACTTTGAATTATACTTTATTAGACTCCAGGCTTCGCAAACTAAATTTACCAACTCCTGCAGATCCTTTCACATGCTGCACGTGAGCTCCTTTCTAACTCCTGACCCCACATTTATTCTACTTTTCTCCACTATTCATTCAATTACTAATGCTAGAAATTTGTGAAATGTCCTAGACTCCTGCCTCCCCCTCATCTTTTCGTATATAATTTGAGCAATGAGTGTCTGACTGTACTGATTATAAAGAAAGTGTTCCTCAGCTTCAAGCCTACCCATTTATGCTTAGTTTTGTGGTGCTGAGGCTGGGTCTCTGCGTTTCACATTTTTCCTTCACCTGCTTGGCTCTCTGTTAGTTTCTGTCAATAGTGGGAGATGAGAGAGGCAGGAAGGGAGAAGGGACTGCTGCTTCTTGTTCGCTTCCTGTTTCTACTGGAGTCACCCAGGCAACAGTTCTTCATGCCAGCAGCGGCCCTGGACTCTTTTCCATACTTCCAGAACTAGCCTTATCACGTTCCTTAGAGATACCAGTACCAGCTAGGCAGCAACCCCGCTCAGAGACCTGAGTCCCGAAGGGACCCAGTGCTGAGCTACTGAGATACAGTAGAAGTCAGGTGGCTTATACTCCTGGAATATTATATTCCAGCCCTCCAGGGCCCCTCTTTCAAGTGTTTAATCCCAATAATTCCAACCTTGATCCTTTATTTCCCCATCTATTTCTTGCAGTTACTACTTCTTTGTTCCACTTTCTCTTTTCAATTCCCCAATGCCTGTGACATCTCCAATAACTCTTTGTATGAATTTCTTAGTTAAGATAACTGCTACAGTTTATTTGTTGAAAACTGACTAATACAGAACATGATCCCAAGAATAGTTCTAGGAGCCTGACTTTCAGCTATAGGATTTGGGGTTCATTTGTTTATATCCTTAAATTCAAATTCAATGCTAGGCAAGTTGTCAACGGGAAATGGGATGTAGTGGCATCATAAATGATCAACTTATCACCTTTAGTCATTTGTGTTGAAGTGTCCACTAAAGCAAATGCTTTGGAGTCACATATGACTATTTGATGGTAATGGTGACTGTAACAACTCTATGTTGGGAGTGGCTTCGTTTATCCCGCCCCCCCCCCAACCCGGAACTCATATAAGAAATGGAATGTTCAAGTCTTTAAACATTCAATTCTAGTGACAGAGAAAGCTTCCATGGCAACCCTAAAGAATCCCTTATACTTACAAAGTAATATTGCTGAAAATCATCCATAAAACCTAATTGTGCAGATTTCAGAATTACAACATAAGTTGATTTCATAGCCATGCCAGAACTCTCTAGTGAAAGATAAGACATTGATGGGGAAATGGATGACACTGAAACTGGAATGGTGACATTTGGGTTGGCTCAAAGTTAAGATTCTAGAGTGCCCAAATCTCTTTAAACTCCAAAATCAGTAGAGACAGCCTTCCATTCCTTGCTTAAAAGCCCTGTAATAACATCATCTAGAGGATGTCTATTTTCCTCAGGTTCCACCCCAACCTCTCATTGTTACCTGTAGATCAGGGTTTGTCAACATGTTGGGCTGTAGATAACTGTTGTCAGATGTCCTGTGCATTGTAAGATATTTAGCAGCATCCCTGACCTCTTACCCACTAGCTCTAGTGACATATCCCCAAGCCCAAGTTGTGACAACCAAAAATGTTTCAGGCATTTCCAAATGTACCCTGGGAGAAAACACACACACACACACACACACACACACACACACACACACACACAAACTCAACAAGGACCACTGGTCTAGATCCATAACTAGGGTCAGATCTCAACATGTTCCAAGTCTAATTGGGAAGAAATGACTTATTCTTACGATTGCAATATTTTGCTGATTTATATTTGGAGACTTGGAGAATATGTGAAAGAATGGATTCTTTTTTTTCAGGAAAGAAAGAAACAAGGAAGACAAACCCAGGTTTGATTTATTAACCAATTCAATTCAATTAATGAGCACTTTTACAATTCCTGATTTAATGTGCTAGCTTGTGCAGCTGGAAACGGCTCTCACAAGTTGGTTGACTGAAGCTTTAAGTAGTGACCTGCATTCAATGAAGTTGAAATGTAAGAACTGTCTGTTATAACTTAGAAGAAGGATCCAAAGGCTTAAGGAGATACAGTGTTGGAGTATATCTATCATGTATGAATTGCCACCCCCTCACTATCTTACTTAAGAAATCTAGAGGACACTACCTACAACAAGGCATTGAGAAATATATTAGTGGATAGGCACCAGTATCCCTGTAAACCATGTGGTGGCTGTTTCCTGTAGACAGATTTGATAAAGGAAGAAGTTACAGTTGAGGTGGGTTCCCTGATTCCAATGGAGATATGGGATC